ATAAAATAAAAAAGTTTGTTTCTTCTAATTCGCTTGTAGAATTTGAAGTTGTTATAAAAGACTGGACGTACATCACTCATTACACCGCCCGATAAGAACAGAAAAACTTGATTCAAAAAGACGTCAGATCAAAAATTACCGAAATGCAAAATTTGAAGCCATAGACACAGATATAAGTGCTGAATTTCCACTGCAGCAGAGTTTCAAGCATCGAAGCTAATCTGAGTAATTATCTTGATAACTGAAAACTCCTAGTAATTAGATTACTTCTCTTTCTTTTTTCCCTCTTTCCCTTTTTCAGCTTCTCCCCATCCCGCGTATACATAACGCAATATGTGTTGATTTTAACCCAAGATAACTTTTGATTTCTGTTTATAGCATTTTATCTCAAAAAGTATTTGTATTTAAAACAATTAATATTCCACATCGCTAACACAAACTGCCTAACATACTTTGCTGAAAAAATTTTAAAATAAATTGCAGAGAATCTTAAGACGAGCATTCACACACAGTTCGAGAAGATTTTGATTTTCTCTGCAAGTGATTCTCTTTGACTGGGTGACTAACACTGCTGGCTATCATACTGGGAAGCAAACAGAAACTCTTTTTGTCTCATAGTGTAAATGCAAAGGGAAAACACCAGATCCTAACGTAACGTTTAGCAATGAATTTAATTAGGTAAGTAAGTTTCTCCATCGAAAACCTTTCTGTTTTTATATTTCTTTCTTTCGTTTCGGACGCTGAAGTTAAATTTTTAAGAAATGTATATATTTGCAGACATGTGTGATAATATTCAACTTATACTTAAAATGTTCCAGGTATTAATTTTCTCCTGCTTGTGGCATATGGAATATTCCTCCTCTGTCTAACGGTAACAGCAAACATTCTTACCCTCTGTTGGGCCTAACACATTTTTTCAAAGCAGTATTACTTTAGTGTTATCTTATCTTAGCGCAAAGGCTATCTAAGTTCTTCACAGAACGCATCAAGACTGTTAGGTACTAAAACTATCGTGATAATTGAATTTAATTGATCTTGGAAATGCATCTTGAGGAACATCTTACACTCCATATGTTTGTAACCGTAAGAGTTCATCTGCGATTTTGCGGTAATTAGGGCCTTATGATTTCTCAATATGTTTTCCGAAGTCTCCAAGTTGAATTTTCAGCTTAGCCTGATATATCTATGAATTTTATATTTTTCATAAAAGCTTTTATCGCGTGAGCCCATAAAATTTCTTTCTTTGATTTTAATATCATTGTTAAGTACAGCCCATTCTTATCTACGATCTTAGTAAAATTTTTGAAATGCTGTAACTTTGGACGAAGTATATAAATTTAATAATGTTAGAGTTTATTAATGATAATTGTACAGCATTTCTCTGCCCAGACATAAGTGATTAAACGTTTAGCCTTTCTTTCTTATTATAATGATGCTTTTTCCTTTTTTTCACTTTCCACCAGAAGCACCATAATTTAATATAGCCGAGCTGATCTTTAAACTGAAAACTATGATCAGCAGTGCTTGACATACTAAGCTTTCTAACAGGATTTTCATTGCTTCACAAGTTTTTTTTTTCTCATATTGCATAAGCGAATGACACAGAATGAAATGTTTTTTCATTGGGAGGAAGCGCGATATTGTTTGAAAGTTTGATCCTCTTGTTTGAAAAGTTGATTAGTAATCTCCAATCTCTCGCTTGGGATTGTACCCGAGTGCATAAATTTCAAAGCCTATTAATTTAGGCAAATTTCAAAGATGTTGTTATAACAAACTAAAGATTCTTTTTTCATAACATAAGTATTTAAATTCCTCTGAATAGCTATAAAAATATTTTAGTGTCACACTGAATATGATTTCAATTTCTCAATCTAGAATTCAGTCTTTATTGGCTAGTTCAAAACCAAAGTATATGCAAAACCAATAAGCATCCCTAATGATGCAAGACAAGAAAACCTCCTCCAATGACATACAAGACTAGGTCTAACAAATCTTCGTAGATTATTCACTTAAGAAGGGTTTCTTAAACTGTGGGTCGCGGAACCTGTAGCAGGGAGTCGCCAAAAATTTTAAGAGTTTTGATATTTCTTTAACTTATTAAAATAATTTTACAATTACCAAATATTTTACATAATGTATCTGAAAATAGATAAGATAAGGCAGTACAGAGAAAGAAAAAAACGAAAACTTTTCGGCGCATCCTTTTTATAATATAGTTTCATTTTCCTTGCTTTGCACGTGACGCTGTCATTTCGTCTGTTACTTACTTAAAATCTTCACATTGTTTTATGTCTTAAAATTAGAATTTAAAGTTAATGACCTAAAACTTCAATAGTATATTACAGTACAAGTGAAAAAATTGACAGTTTCACACACGCGTCTGTCGGATTTGCACTATACTTATGGGGTCCCACAAAATTCTTGTAAATATTATGGGGTCCTGGGGGTCGCGACTGAAAAAAGTTTAAGAAATCCTGCACTAAAGCAATGATCTACAGCTTAACAGAAATCGCCCCCTTACCATTAATATCATTCAACTTCTAAAAAAAGCTTCTGGGAAAAATATGTATTATAAATGTTTTAGACTTCAAGTTCGTAAATTGTATTATTTCTTACAAACCGCTGCTTAATTCTAACTAGTGTTAATAACTAATTTTTAGGGTACTCATATGTATCCGGAAACAGGGGAAGAACTTAGAATTCCGAGAAAATTTTAAGGCCAGTAAATCTACTTTCTTGGCTGGGAACACTTTTTGAAATCATCACTTTATATACACTGAGCCTACACCTACAAAAATAAAATGTCTTTCAATTAGGATTCAAGTTGGGATCGGGATACTTAGAATCACAGAATTCACAAGTTATGCTTCACACGGTAAAAATATGTGGCATCCCGTATGAAAAAAAATGGTAAAAGCTTTTATTCAAGTCTGGCAAAAGCTTTAACTGAAGTCATGGCAAAAGCTTTTATTCAAGTATGGCATAAAGAATTTCATTTATAAGCTTATCAAACTAGGTATTGATTTCGAAGCTATCTTGCTGCTTCTTTTCATGAAAATAGATTTTTTATACTCTAGCAGTAAAACTGAAACTCTTCATTTAAAAATCTTAAGACTGAAATTCCACAGAGATCAGTTCTTAGCTCAGTAACGTATGCTTCAGCAACTATAGATATTGTCTTCCCCCCATGCTATGCGGTTGATACAACCATTGCGATAAAATCACTGTAGTCTAGCTATGCAGCATCCAAGCAAATCTCGAAACTGAGGATTCGTGTAAACAATGGAAAAACTATTAAATATATCTCGGCTACGTGTAATTAGAACGTAAAAAAGAGCCTCATCTTGTGAAAAAAATGCTATGTATTATTTTCTGTCATTTGTCCAATTATTATTAATGCATCTCCAGCTTGGCCTTTTATCTTTTTATCTCTAAAAGGCAACTGAAGCTACTTCAAGTGCTTCAAAACACTTTTCTGGAGATTATTACGTGAGAACCGTATTTCATTTGGAATTCAGAGCTTCACAGATACTTCAACCTGGAATTATAGAAAAATTACCTTCATAAGATCAAAGAATCTTTTTCCAAGAAAACCAGAATTTGTGGTTCCATTAACTGCTGGCAGAGTCTTGATTACCAAGTACTACTGGATACTGTTATACTGATAATTACAGGTCTCAGCATCAGATAAAATTCTCGTTCGGTTTATTGTCCGCTCATGAGTCTGTAGGACTGCGGCTGTTCATTATTGTATAGATTAACGAGTCTAAATTCTTCCAGGTACTTTCTTCAGACACAGGTCTTCTTCTTCATTCCTTAAATCCTAACTCTCTTACTGTTTTAGGAAATACGAAATTGTAAAATTCTCAGCTCTAAGTTCTTAAAGGATTCCACTGAGTTAAACAGAAAGCGCTTTTAAGCGGTAGTTTAGTAAGAAAATTGCATATCAAGATATGTGTAGTAGTTGAAGTTTATTAAAAGAATTACATTAAAATGCAAAGACAAAATAGGTATAGTGTCATCTGCTCACGATGAGAAAAACTGTGTTTCGATAATTAAAAATGTCCTCAAAGAAATTTTTCGCATTAGAATTATTCTATATTGGTACATAAGTGGATCCAAAAAAAGTTACAAGCATCAACATTTGAAGAATAATTATTGTGGAGAGAATACTTTCATCCTGCTCAGAGTGCAGACAGATGGCACTAGTTTGCTAGCAGCAGTTGTGCAGCTAGTACGTAGAGTAAGTTCGCAGATGCGTTACAGCGATTGAAATGGTAAGACGTTTAGAAAAGTGGTCTTGCTTGGAGGCGCGAGCCGTGATTCTTTATGCTGATAGAGTATCTGGAGCCTAGCCATAGCGTTACTGCCAATCGTTATTGTACCACTTTGGCAAAGTTACGTGAAGCCATCCAATGCAAGTTCCCTGGCATGTTGAGTGATGGTGTCCTCCTCATGCATAACAATATCCGGCCCCATACTGCTCGCCAAAGTCAAGAATTGCTGCAAAAGTTTACGTGGGAAATCTGGAGCCCCCCCCCCCATATAGCACCCAGTGACTATTTTGTTTTTCCGAAATCGAAGGAACATTTATTTAAGGTGAGGTTCTCTTCAGAAAATGATGTGAAAACAGCTACTACTGAGATCTGGTTAAATGGGCTGGGACGTGATTTCTATCAAGCTGGGTTAAACAAGTTGCTGCTACGTTCAGATAAAAGCCTAAATAGATTTGATGATTATGTGGGAAAATAATAAGCAAGCACGCCTCTTAGTTCACTCTTGTTTTTTTGCCTATGGCTAATAAATAATTTTTTATTACCCACGAACCTTTTTTTTTTTTTTTTTTTTTTTTTGGATCCATGCTCGTATCAAACGGGTAATTAGGTGATTCATATGTTGATTTAATACCTGGCTATCGAAGCTTTGTTATAAAATGTAATTGAATAAAGGTGAAGACAAATCGGAATTATTTATCATTTTTAATGTATGACGATTTAGAATGTATTAGAAGTAAATCGTTTTATTTAAGGAAACAAGTACAGTTTGAAATATTTTTATCACACAAATAATAGAAAATTTGAATGAACAAAGCTTTTATCATAATAGAAAAAATGTTTTTCTTCACATTTTTGATTCGTGCATTTTGTTATTTTATGTACAGGATCGGAATCAATAATCTGGCTGTTTTAATAACGTTCACTGGCTTTCGATATCACGACGTCTGCGTCCTGGTCCGTTGGCGAAATTTGCTGCTTGCAGTCCCATCAAGTGCTTCGCGGCTTGACTACCGGAAAATCCTCTGGACAAACCAAGATCGATTCCTCTTTTTTCATTGCTATAAAAAAGAAAAGAAAACAATCTGAAGAAAACGCTTCCGTGGTAATAACTAAATTAATCGTTAAATTCTCAGCCTTTTCTGAGAATACTATTGTAATTATGAATAGCAAGTTACACTTATCATTTGAAAGTTATTTGATTATTAAGATCAAGGCAAAGCACCTGAGAGCATGGAGGACTTTGTTAATTTCAGCCAATGACCGGCATTTAAGTTAAAAGTATTGCAGTTACTAGCATGCAATAATTAGTATCTAAATTATATTTTTTTGAATTACCAGCGACTACCTAAAAGTAACGTTAACTTACGTAGCGAATTGCCGCATTAATTCAGACCAAGGAAACTTTGCATCTAGCCAAATGTTTCTCATGGTTTGCGGATTAGTAGAAATGTTTCAGAAGAATTTGGTCTATAGCATACATGGTAATGATTTTCTGCTTATTCCTCTGCAGTTCAGAAAATCAGATGAAATTCGTGAGTTTTGAGACCCTCAGAAGTTTTTGTTGGGGATAAATCTAACTCAAGGATAAACAAAATGAAGGATAATATCGGTGGTTTGTACCAGTTGAATTTGGAACGATAAGAGAAGACGACTTTCACAACCCGGCTTGATTTTCATAGAATGTGCAACATAGAGAACATGCGTAACAAACTTTTGCGCAACAGAAAGAAGGCAACAGGTTCATATCATTCATAAAGTTCGACCACAGATGGCCCAATCTAACATGAGATACAGTGGATCATAAAATCATTTGGCTGTCTTACTTTAAACGATTTAAATAGGAAATTCTCACTAGCGGCTGAACGGGAAAAGCCGCTACATACTGGTAGTTCGGCTCAGGTTTCGAGACCCAGCGAACGGGCTGACTTGTATGGAGATTTTTGTGATTTTCCCCATCTGTAACGTGAGCCAGTTTTCTTTAAAAAATCCTCCACGGGCCTACCTTCCTTTCCGTATAGTGCCAAAAGGCGAAGCACTTAATAAATAAATAAATAAATTGGTAAATGAAATAAAACGAAACATATTTTCTAAAATTCGGTATTTATACCTTAATATATCATACAAAAATAAAAAATTAATTAAATCAAAATACAAGAAACCTTTAGGTATCGTAAAACAAGAACAACTGGACATGAAAGTAAAAAAGAAAACATGTAAGATCTATCTCTACTTGTCCACATGCCGTGCAATATAAAAACACCGTTCACATGCGGCGGTAACTAAAAGTAGACTATAATATAAATCAAATCTGAAAAATAAACGAGTACAAGAACGCACTTCAAAATTACTCCTAAGAGATGGACTCACAAAAGTCTAACCGGCGTGATACTAAACTGATAAAGCCAAAAGGCTTACTAGAGTGACCGCGAAATAACAACGAACGTGCTAAAGATTTTGTTAAAATAATAAATAAACAGTATTTTGTTTGACCTCATCGCTATCTTAGATCGACTGAATAGGATGATTCATGAAGTTACCGAATCTAATAAGTCATAAGAAATGATTAAGAAATATTTGAGCAATCGTAAGCGAATGAAGAATGAGAATGTGAAAAGCAACTTTATTGGGTTCTTTGGCTAAGTCATCATTTAATTAGCTATTTAGTTAATCATGGGATGAAAAGTATACATTTATGGAAAGCTTTCTAAGAGAAATTGACTAACATTTATTTAAACATGGAGAAAAGCCAACTCTTTCTATCACTGAATATGGAATTTGGAATGAATCTGTCAAAAGATGAACGATTTTAAAAATGATATCCAGTGGACTGGACAATCATTTTATAATTTTTTTTTTGCCTTTTTGCATTTGTAAGAAAAATTATAATCCTTCAGAAATATGCATTTTCTCTTACTGTTTCAATTAGCTTCTCTTAGCTTTTAGGTGTGTTTAATAATGACCTTTACGTTGTGCACTCTGATTAATTTTAAATCTAACACAGCGCTGTCAGTCCTCTTTACCTCTTTCTTTAAATGATCTAATTGATCTTCTGGCTGCATAGAGTTCTTTAATTGCCAATTATTTTCTTACTGGACTTAGGAATTCGCCTGGATATTATTTTTTTAATTCGTGAAGTTTTTATAAATCTATGAATGATGACCAATTTAAAACACTTAAGGGTCATTATTAAGTTGTTAAAAACATATAAGCTTTGCCACTGCTTTAGTTATTAATTCCCCAGTAGTACGTCATGACGTTTGTACGTTCAAACATCGTTCATGTTCATTCATGAATAGATTTGATAGAACATGACAGCTTGCATTTTAAATTTGGTGACTCCTCGGTGAGTTTACGAAGTAAGTTGCATTTACAACGCATAATAATTAACTTCATTAGCAATGAAGAATCTCTTTGTCTTCGACTTTTGGCTTTGCTCTACATTTAAAAGCTTTTAATTTTATTAAAATATGGCGAAATACTCTAGAGCTGTCTACCTAAGCTGAGAGATGCCTTCGTGAAGGTGTTTTTTAGAGAAACTGATTCATATTCACATCACATACGGAGAGATTCTCGACAATTCTCGTATAGCTATGCTGTTTATCGGGATCGGAAAGCAAGCTGTCAGTGTTTAGCGGTCTTATATTCTCACCCACTGTTGGAGCCCTCTACGTACAGAAGAAAGTGCAATGGCAGTCTTGCTTGAAGATGTAAAAATACTTACGGTATCATATAATAAGATGGAACTGTCTCGGCTAATTTCATCAGAATGCGGACGATCTCCTCTGGGCTTTCGTCTGTAGATCTCTTTGACCTATAAGAGGTTAGATAATAGTTTTCATAAATCTAATCATAAGCAGACAATACAGATTAAGAAGTGAAATATTCAAAATGATAAGAAAATAAATATATGTTTCTCTAATTCAATATTACCTTTTACTGACGTGCAAAGAATCTTTAATAGCCACTTATTTATGGTTGCCTTATGATAAAGAGAAATGTTTAACGAAATTTTCGTTAATTACCGTTTATCAAAGAACTTCACCTCTATTTAACATAAACATTATATATCTGTATATCTGCTGGTGGTGTTCCCAACACTAGTCAGTTGCTTAAACTGTGGCTACGAAGAGATATCCAAAAATTAAAGGTTAAGCTAAATTGAGTTTCCTAAAATCAAGTTACTCTTATAGCTTTAAATGGATGAGTCCTGCAGGGATAGTTGTTAAGATTAGCTACTTGAATTTATTTGTTGTGATGTTAAATTACGGTTTTTAATAAAATCCGTTTTATTGTAATACATATTTATAAACTTAATATTAAAAGTAGATGAAACTTATAATGTTGTTACTTAGACACCAGCCGTAAAAAATTTCTCTATGGCTCTTGAACACAAATAAATTCTTGATTTAATATTTATTCCAAATTTATCAAGTTCAAATATGGTTCAAATAAATGGCTTTGATTTGGCATGATCGAAAGTTCCACTTCTCTACTTCTTGTCACACTAATTGCTTTCTCACTGTACGTACAAGGCACATTTTTTCGCTATCTAAACAAAACTCAGAAAGAAATTACGTAAATAAATACAACTCGTTTAATTTCTATCTAAACAAAACTCAGAAAGAAATTACGTAAATAAATACAACTCGTTTAATTTAAATATAAGTGAAATACGTGAATCTCTAAAAGTGAACTAAATTGGTAGAACAACGTATTTTTTTTAGATTTAAATCCTTAACTAGACTCCAACCATTTTAAGCGAATAACTTGAGAAATACTTAGAAATACTAACGAGTTGTTATCACATGTTGATGCTTTAAGTCAAATACACACTGTGTAGAGACATTAGGTATTTTAGAAGCAGGAAAGATGAAAAATATGCGATGCCTTTGCCAGGAATCGAACCACGGACCTCTGGAATACGCGCCAGCGGGCAGACCACCACACCGCGAAGGCATGGCAAGAAGGTGGGAGAAATACCTTATAACTGCACAAAAAAAAAGGGGGGGACAGTCTTATATCTCCCGTTCTACTGGGCCGATTGACGAAATTTAATTTTCGTTTCCCATGTTTCGAAATTCAATTCGCAGATATTTTCTGATTTAAAATTTAAAGTTTTTAGTAATTTTTATACATTTTTCGAAAGAGTTTTTTTTTTAATTATAACCTGTAAAAGGTATACTATCACGTTAAAGTAAGTGTATTTCTATTCATACTTTCCAAAATCTTTTTTATTTAAAATTTTCCAAGATATACGTGAATTTATATATTGGCACGTTTTGAAATTTGACATATTTATTAGAAGCGATAATACCGCCAAATGAGGTTTACGGATTTTTTTAAATTATTTGATAGATTGAACGATGCACTATTTTTCCCGTCGTTCACAATGAAAGGGAAAGGAAAATAAGTTACCATAAGTTAAGAATTTCACCAAGAGAATTATTCTTGGCGCAAACAGAGAAACGTGATAAATTTTTAAATTCATCGGTAAGTTTCGCACCAAATTTTACAAAATATAATATTTGGACATAATTTGAATCGTAGAACCGAAATACGGAAAAACAATCAGTATGCTCTTTCAAAAAAAATTGTACCTATGTCAGAACAATCTAATACATATCCTAATACAATAAAAATCTAATACATATATCCTAAGTTGCGCTTGAGAGCCATGAAAAACGCAAGTTAAATTTCTTCAATCGGTTCAGTAGGATAAGAGATACAGAACCATCCGCCCCTTCTTTTGTGCAGAGTATACAACATAAAAATATTGTATCTATGCCTCTGTAGAAAAAATACCTTTGTCTGAACTGCTCAAATTTGTCAGTTTTGCTCCAATCACACCAAATCAACATATTTCATCACAAAGAGAAGATCCAGTACTTTCTCGCTGTTACATTTATTCGTATAAGTCCGAACCAATATATATATCATAATAAAAAAGTTATCCAGATAGTATTTTTCCCGATAGATGTAGTTATTAGAATGAGAAGTAATCTCGCAACGTTTGAGATATAACTAATTTAGATAGTAACAAACTTCTGCGGGGGTGGGGGGATAATTCTTTGAAATCTAATTGTAGATTTCGCAGTTCTTTTTAGTATTAAATAGCTTTCTTTTACTATTTGAAAATTCAACATTACATATTTTTCTGTCAAGGTATAGATGCTTTCCCTGAAACATAAACATTTAGAAAGACAAAATGCAATAACTACTAAAAAAGTTAATAAAAGTTACTAAAAAGAAGTTAATGGAAGCATTACCTAGAATTCAGTGCTAAGTTATTATTAGCAGGGTAAGACCAAGTGTAGTTTAGACTGGAAACCAAAATACAGAGGAACAAAGCAGTAGTAAAAAGAGGGTTTGACATCTTGGTATAAATGAGCTGAAAACAAAAAAATGCACATAAGGTTTATGCAGTTCAAAAATTTAGATACAAGTTCTTAACTTACATTCAGAGATTTCAACTGACATTTAATTTTTTTAAATCAAGTTTACTAATAAAAGTTTCATTTAATATATAGGAGGATTCTAAAGTATTTGGCAAAAGGGTAAAAGTAGCAATGGAGACAGAAATAATCAGGTTTTGTAATGGAATGTGTGAGGGGAAATAACGCGTTCATACACTAGAGAACGCCATTAAATGTAATATGTGAAAGCAGTCCGCTGGAATAATTCATCATTCTGCTTGTGAACTTCGAACATCGCTACACGAAAGCACAGCTCGCCGATAAATATTTTATCTGTGGGGTTGCGAACGGAAACCGAGAATTTTCTCGAATAATATACTAAAAACGATTCTCGAGCAGTAATCGAATCTCCAAATGTTTATTCGTATGAACTTGGAGAATAGATCATTCCGTGCTTGCAAAGTGATGTAGGCAGGGAAAGATATCACAGAATTCTTGTGGTGGAAGAATCTGTAATATATACATCTGCTGATAGTCATTTGATATATTTGATGATATTACAAATGATGATACAGATATTAGATGGGCTTTGAGTGTGAAGCAACTAATCGTTTAGAGCGCATTAAATGGGGAAGAGTTGTATCTATATCATTTGCACATAATGCACAGAAACTAGAAGATTATCCTCTGGGTAATAACTATATCCGTTGGCACGTGTAGCATACTGTAGCATATTTTGCTTTCCCTTCGTATATCTTATTCACCAATGAGGCTACGCTTGCAGCTTCGTTTATGTTTAGTACCACAGTTCTCACATTTTGGGGCATGGTAATATTCATGACATGAGATCAGATAAGTTAATTTCAATTGACGATGAATGAGGACACCTGGCCTTTACCAATGCTTAACAAGTATTCATTAAGTAGATCATATCCATCATTAACTGGATTTATTTGAATTTCTACTCGTATAATAATTCTCAAATTATTTATATTTTTTATATTACACTACGTAACTGAAAAGTATAAATTTTGAAACATATTTGCATGAAAAAGGAATAAGAAAACTAAAAATAAGTGCAGTTGTATTAAATTTAAGTTCATAAAGTCCACAGTTCACGAAGTCACGATCAAACATTCATAAAATCGATCATACAACCGTCGTAAAAATTATAGCGTCATTAAGTTATAGCCATGCTGGAACGTGATGCTGGAACGTGAAAATGTGTAGTACCCTCGCCGGAATTCGAACTCCTGACCTCCCGAATAGGGGTCGAGTGTGCTTCTAGTTACACGACGTAGGTATGCGGAAAGGAGGAAGAAAATATCTTATGTACTCCCCTTTCAAAGGGCAACTGGACATTAGAGGATCTAGTCACCAAATCCTGGTGGTTGCGAATTATCTTCCATCACCTTTTAGTTCCCGGCGCCACTTGTATAGCCTTGTAGAGTTTTACAGTTTCCGGCGCCACTTGTGCAGTCTTGTAGAATTTCTTTGATGTTAAAAAACTGAAGAAATCAGCAACGCACTCCTCAGAATTTGAATTCCAGAACTTCCGAAAACGCGTTGATTGTGCTTCCATTTACACCATGAAAGCATGAGGAAAGAAGGAAGAAAATACCTTAATAAAATCAAGTCTTAATACCTTCACACCTTGTGCTCAGAAAATAAAGTTAATATATATAAGTTCTACATAAAATTTTAAACAAGTACGTTTGTTACGATTATGTTCAAATTTTTAAAAAAGGATGAAAAATATCGTTTCCCACTACAGCAAGTACATTCATAATTTTATAGTTTTTGAGGACAAGATATCTTTGCTTAATAAAGAATCCTTTGAAAGGAACGACGTTAGCTATAGGAAATTTAATAGGGTATTATTTACGTTAGAGAACATTCAATTATGTAGTGATCTGAAGCTCCACAGACAAAATGATAAATTTTGGTGAATCCATGTTCATAGTATTGGGAAAAGGCCATGTCCTGTTTATTATGTATCTTGATAATTATGGAATCGAAATTTTGGGATTTAGATCAAGGAAAGATTCCCCATTAGTGCTTCATATGGCAGAGTACGAAAAAAAAAAAAAACATATTCGGTTCTAATAAGTACTAGTTAGGTAGAATGTAAGGTAGCATGTATAGTATCTTTCTATAAGACATTATCAGCAGTTTTTTCTGTTTTTCCTCCAGCTGTTCACACACGAATGTGCTTCCAGGGGGATGGAGAGACACCTCATTCCAGCAATAACGTTATTAGTTATCTCGACACTAATTACGGTCTTCGTTGGATTAGCCAGCAAAGGTTCTGTTCCTTGGCTACCATACTCAGAGGTTTTGACACACATAGTATTCTGAGGTTGCGCAAAACCAAAATAAGGACAGTTCTATATCTCCCGTTCTACTATGCCGATTGACGATATTCAACTTGTGTTTTTCATGTCTCGAAAGCGCGACTTAAAATATGTATTAGATTTATACATAGCATTCTTTTAATATAGATATTTTGACACAAAATCGGACCTATTTCTGAACTGGCATGTCAATTGCTTTCTATATTTCGATTCTACGACTCAAATTACGCCAAACTACCAAGTTTTGTTAAAATTACACGTGTAGTTTTTAAAAAATTAGCTCTAAAAATTTTAGCTTTTCAATGTTAATTGAGTTCGGTATATATTTATTAATTCCTCTTTGTTTATTAAACTTATTTGATTCTTCCTTTTCCACTTCGAAATTCAGGTTCATTCCAAATAAAATTCACGCATTTTTTATAATTTATTTTTAAATTTTGAATTTTTAAATTATTTTTATAAAATTTATTATAAGCTGTACAATTTTTACCATTATCTTAAAGTAGACGTATTTCTGAGCATACCTGCAAAAATTACAGTTTTTTTATTCAAATTTCCGAAGATATACGTGAACTTATATATTGGCGCGTTTGAAATTTGGAAAGCATGCCACCCTGTTAGCGTAGTAAGGAAGCCGACTACAGTAACTCTCGCATTAACTCGAAGTCTCTCTTCGAATCTCTAAGACATGGATATTTATAAGATCTATGTATCTAAAGACAATTAGCTTTAAGCATATTTTATCTTATTATTAAAGCTATGATAATTTACGAATTACATCATAGTCAGATAAAACACGGCAAAATACAATTTCAGATCTTCAGACGTAGGTAAAAGTAGCAAATAATAAAAATATTTATATTCTTTCTGAAGTAAATTTTATCAGTTACGTCACATTTTCTAAGAAGATGGTAGAATTCATAGAAGGGCACTGAAATTACGAGTCTATATTTAGATATCTTGTGACACTATCATAAAATACTGAGCATACCGAAAACCCAGAGAATATACTTGTCTTAACATGCAATTCATGCGAGTTCTGAAGTTGTTGATTTATAATTATCTTCCCTACAAAGTCATTAAAGTATAGTCACGCAAAGGAAGTATGAATGAAAGCTTCTAGCACAGTTTAACATTTATATCAAATTATCGTATGTAGAAAGGAAGACTATTTTTCATACAAGTTTATGTTTTGGAAAAAATGTTTAAGCATTCCCATCACGATACTGAGTTCCTTCTTTTACGCGCAAAACCACACGTGTCGGTTTTCCCTCATGACACATTTCTATCGATCAAGGAGTAGAACTTGTAAAGTAGATGAAAATACTTCTCTACTTTACAACTACTCTCTACTTCTCTACTTTTCTTGATTTTCTGTGTATTCAATGCAAAGATTTGCCGTCAAATTTTCGCTACACTGCTAATAAAAGAAGTATAGGTATTCAGGCGCAACTAAAAGGTCTTTAGATAATTTATTTCTTAGAATTTTAATACTGAATGATAAAATTACTTATCTTGTCTTTTACTTCTTATCTCTTACCACCTTGAGCATAATTCCTGTTATGAAGAACTCTCTTATTATCAGTCAGGCTTTTCTTCACACAACGAAACATTCATTTACAAGAGTAATTTACAATATTATAAGTTACATGTTCTATCGCACGTTGTCAGCCGTCAACCATCATCTGGCAAAGAACATACAGAAATTAAATAAACGATCTATCGGCGAAATGTATCACTGACACCAATAAACAATCTATCAACCAGACAGTTCCTTTAACTCAGAGATAAATTCCATGTTTTACAGTATTGATCTTTTGATTAAAGTTCTATTGGAAAGTGCTACAGAACTAGCTAGTGCTTTACGATCATGTGCAGGTTCTGCTTCCTCTAAGAGATCGATCTTCCACAATAGACTGGGTATTTTATTTTCATATATCAAAACGATCGAGTTCCTGTTGATTCTAAAGTCTCCGCTGGCTTACGATGAAGGATATCCAAATTTCCTATTCAGCAAATATTCTGAATAACATCTCTTTTATAAAGGCTTAACAATTTGGTTTTTATAGTTATAATTTCTCCTTATAGAAACTTTGGTTGACGCGGAAGCAAACGTATCAGGAGAAAATAATACTAATCTTCGCTTGTTTTGAAATGATGGATATTAGATGCTCAGGATCATTATGATCACTGTAAACAAATGTGAGTGGCTTGAAGTTCAGGATGGATTTTATGTCTTATTATATCTATTTTTGATTAAGAGAATGATAAATCTGATTTTATTAAAATCCATATTAAGATATTTTTGGTCGACTTTACCATCCTCACTCACAAAACTCTGCATTACTCAAATCTTTCAATAGCGAACTTTCATAATATTCTATGGTTTGGAAAAATCATCATGTTTCTTGATCCTTCGAGCATTTACGCAAAAGCTGTGTTTCAGAACTTGCTTTCTTAAACGTTTTTGTGTTATCAGAATATAACAGTTCACAAAGTCTTCTTCTGATAAAAACTTCTTAAAAGCTTGTAAGAATGATTTTTCTGTACGATCTCATTTTACCTCGAGTCGCTGTTATATTCGTGCATCTGAAAGAAGAATATACACTTTCTTACTTGAA